ACGGCGCGCATAACGGAGACGAAACACCTCAATTACTGGGAGCACTTGAAGTTCCTGAACCTGTACTCCCTGGAACGCAGGTGGTAGAGATACATGATTATATACACCTGGAAAATCCTAGAAGGATTGGTATCGAACTTGCACACGAAAATCACTCACAACGAAAGCAAAAGACTTGGCAGACGATGCAACATCCCCCCAATGAAAAGCAGGGGTGTCACTAGCACTGTAAGAGACAATACAATAAGTGTCAGGGGCCCGAGACTGTTCAACTGCCTCGAAGCATACATACGGGGGATTACCAATAGACCCCTGGCAGTCTTCAAGCTGGCACTGGACAAGCACCTAAAGTCAGTATCTGACTAGCCGGGCTGTGGCTCGTACGTTGAATTGCGTGCAGCCTGCAGTAACAGCCTGGTTGATCAGGCTCTGATCCACCATGAGGCCTGGTCACAGACCGGGCCGCGGGGGCGTTGACCCCCGGAACTCTCTCCAGGTAAACTCCAGGTAAAGCCCGAGCTTCGCTGTGGCCGGTCGAGCAGCGGGTGGCACTGGTTCACAGCTCCACACAGAAGGGTAGGAGTATACAACCTGTCTGTGACGAAAACTATGTTAACTAGTGTTGTTAGTTCACCTGTATTACATACTTATCAGTGTATTTTTTTTATATTTTATTTAAAAAACACAGTATACATGGATGGTATACATAAATGATTTAAAACAAAAAACGCGAAAACTTTATATAAGAAGACAACATATAACTAAACAGAGGACTACCGGAACATATCTTAACCACAAAATAACTATATAACCAAAACCTGACAGTCTTATTCATATTGTATATGAAATTTTATATACAAAAACAATTTCATATAAACTAATGCATTGCACACACCATGGTACTATGATTATATAAAAATTTTATACAAAAAACAATATCATATAAACTAATACATTGTACACTCAATGGTACTATGGTTATATAAAATAACTATCAGAAACCTACATGAATCTTGAAATTGAAACATGATGTTCTTTATTTTTGGTTTTGCATATATTGAAAAAGGAATCAAAACATGTAAAAAGCCTTTAATAATTAACATAAGACATTTACAGATCTAGCATGTATGATTACATATGAGGAAACACTAAGACACCTAATACCCCGACCAACCCCATATTTAGTTTCTCAAACTAATTATAAACCCACAAAAAATATACCTTGCTTGTATACAGTGATATTAGTAAAGGTGCTTAATTGAACATCAACTGACTATATGCACCATAAATGATAAAACAAAAAATACATGTGATATCAGTATCACTGGGTGAGGGAACAACATCCCACAAAAGCTGCTGCCCAAGGAACTTTAATGTCCAAAGATTACAATATAGAACATTATACATCTCAACCCTCCCCCCCCCCCCCCTCACAGTGGTGACCGCTACTACATATACAAAAACAATCTCAGGCAAATGAAACTTTTTGCCATTCATCAAAAGTTTACAATCATCACCAAAAAGTCTGCTTATGAACATTCCCCTTAAAGGCCAGTATAACGTTGTACTTTTAGTGGTGACATCAGCGTGGCTTCCGCTTACAAATGATTAAACTAAACCTAACGGGAATTCCAGGAAAGACCCAACATACTTCACCAAACCCCGGCCATAGTCGGGAACCAATTCAGTCTTGTTAGAGGCTGGAACATATACTGAAATATTGCTTTTTATCTGTATTATCAAAATGCATGACCATTTTAGGATTAATCCAAGATCTCAGTGCCACACAACACCACAACCATACACACACAGACGCACGGTACCATTCATAATACATACGCGTCACTCCCTAAAACCCGCCCTCTACCCTGAAGTCTCTAACATACCGTTTGGTGCTACCACGGGGGGAGTCCAGCCCCCCGTTGCCTTACCCCACTCCCAGTTGCAGCAACCTTTGAACAGTAAGACTTCGAAACTTTGCAGGAAAACTATTATCCCAACTTCTACCATATATGAGTTTATATCTGCAATACGTTCTGTAGATACCTGCCGCAATTGCCCTGATCCTAACTGATCCCCCGGTTTCCCGCATACCCCACGAGATATAGAGGAAATCAGCCACCACGTACATTATTGCTCTTTGTACCTCACTTGATACTCCGCTAACGTCCAATGTTAAGGCCCGTAAGGTTGAAATACTTCCCCCACTAAGAAAATCTAAAACCAGCCCCAACCACGAACGAACTTTGTCCAAGGTATCACAAAAGTAGACAGCATGAAAAGCTGTTTCTTCGAGACCGCAACGCAAGCAATCCGCCTCCCTTACCAAACCCATCCTATTTAAGACCGATTTTGATGCTAAAATCCCCATGACAAATCTGTACACCAATTCACGAACCCTTGGTGCCAACTTAAGTTTACAAAATCCTTCCCATATTTCCCCCCAATTATACAGCGGAAAAACAGACAATCCCTGTACAATTTCCTCACGACAACATATGCTGACCATTTGCCCCACCCGGATCCGTTGCGCATTTCTCAACTTTAACAACAAACGCAGCATGTCCTCACACTCGATTAATCCCCTGCCACTCCACCATTTACACATTTCGATCATTACCAGACCCACCCGGATGCCCTTCTCACCTCCCGCCCTGAGGAACTGCTGCTTTACATAGAGGGCCTTCACCCGTGGCCCCAAAGCCAAGAGACCTAAACCCCCACGACGAACATGGGTCATGACAACCTCCTGACTTAACCAAGCTCTCCCGAAACCCCAAACATAACGTAAGACCCTTCTCTGCAGTTCCTGAATATCCATATCTCTTAAAGGGTACACCTCAGCCACACCCCATACCTTACTATAAACAAGTGTATTAACCACTACTGTCCTGTGTTGCAACGAGACATCCCCAGCTCTTAACCCCCGAAGCCGATCTAAAGCCTTGTTAACCACCAATTCAGAGTTTACCCTTCGGCTCTCCCTCTCATCTGCCATGTACACGATACCACATATTCTAAGTTGCACCACGACTGACCACCCATACCTTTCGCCCAACCTCCTCCCCCACCCATGTACCCACCTCCAATAATTTCGATTTTGCCTTATTGACGCACGTGCCAGACTCTGCCCCAAAAAAACTCAACAATCCATCCCACGATCTGCAAATCCTCTTCTCCTTTTAACAAAATCGTGGTATCATCTATGTACTCGACCACACGCGCTGCATGGTCACTGCTCAGCGTTCCACGCCTCAAACCACCATCCACCAGCTCATAAAAGGGGTTTTGCATACAAGCAAAAAGCAGCTGGGAGAGGGGGCACCCTTGCCTCAAACCCCTTTCCATACAGACCGGCTGCCCCAATTTACCGTTTACCTGTACGCGTACCATAGCCGAGACATACAAGGTATCAACCCATCTTACAATCCCCTCTCCAAAACCCTGCTTCAATAAAATAAGCCTCAATAAATCCCTATCAACACTGTCATAAGCATTTTGCCAGTCAAGCCCGAGGACACCCCCTTCCCTTGACATTCCTCCAAAAACTCCCTAATACATACATGTCCGTCCCTCATGCTCCTACCTGGTATGCCTAGCTGTCCCTCGTGAATAACCGACCCCATAACCTTCCTCATTCTGTTTCCTAAAACTTTTGCAAAGATTTTATAGTCCGAGCACATAAGAGATATTGCTCTATATGCACTCAGACCCCTCCCCCCTCCCTTTTTGGGCACCAACACAACTACCCCCGTACTTTGTGACATAACTAACCTCCCCTCCGTGAGCATGCAATTTAATACATCAACCAAACAATGCTTAATACTTCCCCAATGTGCCCTATAAAAATCATTCGAAATGCAATCTATACCTGGTGCCTTTCCTATACTCATACTAAAAATCGCCTCCTCTACCTCCTCCACTCGAATTCTACCTTCTAATACCGTTCTATCCCTGTCACTTATAACTTTTCTGAAATCCCTCCTCACCAGGCCACCCGCATGGACCCCCCCTACTCCCTGCCGTAGCTTTTCCCCAAACCATAGATCCGCATAAAAACTCATGCTGTCCGTGGTGAGGAGTACTTGACCCGGCAGGTAACCACCCAAACCCGTGCATACTTCCAATTGCAAGAGGGATGTCGCCTGTTGTCTGACCCTAAATTTGCGTAAGACACAACCCGAAGGTTTGTCACCCCATAGCACTTCTTCCATACCTGCTCTGACTCTAACCGCATTGAAACGTTCGTTGTGAATTTCTGCAAGTCGACTACGAAGATGTTTAATGTCGTCATACCTACTACTCCCGCCCCCCACATAGTAATCATTTAGTTGCCCCTCCAGATAGTTTTGCAGCCCATACCTTCACCTCGCCTCCTCTTTTCCCTGCTTCTTATAATAACTCGCTATTCCGGGTTTGGCACGCGTTTCCCACCATTCCAACAAACATTCACCTGCCCGTCGCATTTCCCAGATATTCTTCCACCAGTCCTGAAAAACGGACCCATCCCTCTCCCCCTCCAATAGCCGCACGTTCAGTTTCCAATAACCTGGATAAACCCTGATCATTCCATCCCAGTTCAAGTCCGCTAGCACTGCACGGTGATCTGAAAACCCCACATCAAAGGTCTGTATGTGCTCAACTCTAATTCCTTGTGTTACATAAAGTCTATCCAGACGGGCCGCATAGCCCCTGCGAACGAACGTATGCTCCACCCCCACCCACCACCCGCCCCACCACATCATAAACCCCTGCATCCCCCAGCAGATTCCATAAGAAGGTAAAACGCACCCCGCCCCCCCTCGACTCAACATCGCCATGATGGATAACGCAATTCCAATCCCCACCCATGACAGTAATGAACAGCAAACCCCGAGTGTAAAATGTTAAAGCCTCCCTCACAAATTCTATTTTAACTTTAGTGTTGCTTTCTGCAGGCATGTAAACGCCAATAAAACAAACCCTCACCTCACCCCAGTAACCATCTACCCTCACCACCCTCCCACCTCCCCCCTCCTCCCATCTCAAGACACACCAAGGGCTGGACTCCTTCACCGCTGTAGCTACCCCACCCTTTAATTTTAAAGAACTGCTAACATACATTCGGTAGCCTTTTAACCGTAACTCTCGCCCAAACTTATAATTGTGTTCTTGTATGAAACATACGTCCACAGCGTACCTGCGCAAGAACCACTCCATCCACACACACTTAAACTCTGCCCGCAGGCCAATTACATTGATGGTAACACACTTGAATTCACAAAAGGAGGTTTTCCTCTATGTTTGTGGGTCTTTCCCGTTCCCACACGTACATTACACTGACCTTTGATCTTTGACCTCCCAAGGCCCCCCTCACTTCCCCGTGCCCTACCTATATGCTGGGCGCTTGCCACAACCCCGTCTGCAAGAGGCGCCTCAGCCACTTTCGACCATAATTTCTTCCCTGGACGCTGTCCCGGTGTCAGGACCTCGTCCATATCCGACACTCCTGCCGTCCGTTTGCGGGAACCACCTTCCACACACATCTCCTCACCACACGAAGCCTCCTGGTGGACTTCCACAACCACCTCATGCAACCGTGTCTCCCATATTTTGCGAATCATCCTTCACCACTTCTTGACACTCCGGTGGAACGTCTGGGCTATGCTCTGCCCCATCCAGGAGATCGTTTAGCACGTTCTCCAGCAAACTTTCCTGTGACAACTCCACAGGCTCTGTAGGCCCCACAGGTGGTGTGGGCACGTTTGTAGTGTCCACCGACAGGGTGGCACACGCCATAGACCGTGTCTCCTCTTGTTGTACTTCCTCACTCCAAAGCTTAGGTCCTTGTTCAGGCGAGGGACCAGTCTCCAGATCAAAGGCCTCGGTTCGTAGGACCACAGGAGAAGGTTCCCGGATGCGTACAACCAGGCGTCTGGAGCACTGAGCAGCCATATGGTCATACGAGTTGCATAACCTGCATGTCTTACGTTGGCCTGCATAGTGAACAAAAACTTGGGTCCTGTAGTGTTCTAGATGAACGTAAGATGGAATCGGCTGTTTTAATATCATCTTGAGGGTGCAGGAGCCTTCCGGGAGCCCCTCGTATGGGCCCTCCCTCCACACTCCCTTGGTCGCTGCATGTACCATGCCGTATTTACCAAAAACTTTCCGAATAACATACTCCGCCTCGAAAGGCACGTTCCTTACTTTGACCCAGGTGACGTATGTGGAGACGTCATGCAGGCATACCTCTACGGCTGAATTCACCTCCATTTTCCTCTCTTGAAAAGCTTCCACAATCTTGGAGTAAAAGCCGGCATTTGCGAATTTTACAAAAAACCTCGACATCCCATTGAGAGCCACACCATATAATTCCTCAGTGGGGATGCCGTAGACGTCGCGAATAATGGTAGGCAACAAGACATGCATCGTTGCACCACTGAGAGAGCCACGAATGAATTCAACACAGACCGTGTTTACTCTTCTACCCTGACGATCCGCCATCTTGCGTACTGTAGTACACGGTTCGCCACCAGGTGTAAGCAGGAGCAGGCTCAGAAAGCGTCCTCTCAGCCCGCAGGTTGAGAGACGAATGATTATCAGTGTATTCCAGCCAAGTATAAAGGTGAGCTTAAATTAAATAAGTCAGCCTGGGCAGTCGAATATGGCTTTTTTTCATGAGTTATCTAAAGTATTTAGTAAATGGTATTAATCAGAGGGAGTTACTGTCTTTAGTGATCTCCTGCTGTTAGTGCTACCAGTCAACATTTTAGATGGTCACGTTTTTATAATCATGTACTTGAGTCTGTGGTTGAAACAGTTAAATTGGTACATACGTAGGTAGTCCCGTAGCTCGATCACTAGCGCATTCAGCTCACACACTGAGGTCTGGAGATCGAATCCCCGGTACGGCTGGAAAACATTAGGACGTGTTTCCTTAAGACACCTACTGTCCATGTTTATCTATCAGTATAAAATGGGTACCTGGGTGTTAGTCGACTGGTGTGGGTCGTATCCTGGGACAAAAAGTGACCTAATTTGTCCGAAATTCTCTGCATAACAAGCGGCTTTTTATATAGTAGTATGTCATTGATGTCAGCTAGGCCTGTATACCTTGTACATGTACTTGTAGAAATAAAGATATTACTACTATTATTATTATTTGAAGTGACTGAACAAATTTCAGAGTCAATACTTCTATTTTCTCCTCACGACAATACTCTGGGGACAAGAGTCTCGGAGGAAAATCTTTCCAGGTGATTTCAGGAGTGATATTGTAGGTAATGAACATCAACATGACTACAAACAACAGTCACAGGTAACTAATTTCAAAGGTAAAATATCTGAGCCTTTGAAATGCAAGTGTTGTCATAATCTATGTCATATAATTTCAGACTGCTTCAAGCTACAGAAGCAGCCTTCAGATAATGGAAAGTCTAGAAACACGGAGAAGTCAAATAAACAGAAATCAATGAGATATATTTTACTTTTGGTGGATTGTAACGTGTTCTAGGATAATATGGATGAATATTTAAGCAGAATGTATAACCAGAGTAAGATGGTCTTACATAAAACAGTTACACATGTGACTTGCTACTTTTAGAGATTCTGATGCATATTGTCCTTCGTTGAGATGATGTTCTTCCAGCACTGGGAGACACCTATCTCAACCAAAAGGTTTTACAGGAAACTTATGGTGGTGTAATCATTTCTGTTCCACTATATATGATATATATTTGTCCACAATACTGTAGAGAACATTTAAATGTGGGATTGTCAGGGTGATTCTAAAGGACGCTTTGTTGACATATTTCCAAGATTCGCCTTGTGACCAGATACTATCATTATTATAATGCTGATCATCCCCGGCAGACGGTCACTCAATAATTTCTTTTTCACATCGATATCTTAATTTGACTTGAAAAAAAAAAGTATGTTCGTAAAACACTTATACGTATTTGGTTGTCATCGTTGTGTGGCTCATTTGGGAACCATTTTCATTATTAATGGGGAGGGAGGGGGAGGGGGGATGCGCAATATTACAATGTAAAAAGGAACTTGACCTATTTTAAAACAAGCATTTCTTAGGTTCAGAAATTTCTTGCTACAACCTTTGTAATATTATATAAATGTGTATAGTACAGTACGTTTTATTTTTTTTAATATGAATGTTTTATGAAAATCTCTTCAAAACCCTTCAGTGTGAGGCCTTCATGCTCAAGGGCTCTTGATCTAAGGAAATGGAGCTACCCACCAATTCCTTTGATCAAACTAGATTACCTTCCACTCCCCAGACGCTGTATGACCCTTATGAGTTTAGGACTTTCCCATGAATATAATAATTCCTTGAAGCACTTTTCGTGCCACTTTACCCCAGACTGTCAACAGTCACTGACCTTCTTACTATAATACCGATAAGTTGATAAGCAACACACCTGTGTAACAGTTAGGTATCTTTATTCCGAAACGTTCTGTCTAAACAATAGGTTTCTTCAGCGGAGTACAGAGGAGGCAGCAGAAATAGAGATGTAGCGACGATATAATCAGTCCATCACCCTTGAGGTGATCACCCTTTGAGGTGGTCAGTCCCTCAGCTGATCGACTGACCACCTTTAAGGGTGATGGACTGATTACATCGTTTTTATATCTCTAATGTTTCTGCTGCCTTCTCTGTACGCTACTGAAGAAGTCTACTGTGTAGACGAAACATTCCGGAATAAAGATGCCTAACTGTTATACATGTGTCTCACTTAAAATAATTTTTTCAAAGAAAATATTATAGATAAGACTTATTATTTTAGTGTTTGTGTCGTTCTTGTTTTTAGTCGTAGCTGGAGATCTTACTTAATAAATCAGTTATAGTTTGTCATGTTCACTGTTGTAATAACTACGAAATAAATTAATGTACTTCATTAACGCTAAATAATACGAGGTTTAAGTTTGTTCACTTCACTTCAAATGGAAAACTGAAATTAATTATATCTATAACGTGTTGAGAATTTCTAACCAAGACAGGACTCGCAGCTGTGGCTTAAAATTTTACAAATTTATAATTAGAAAGGATATAGGAAAGCACTAGTTTGACATTAATAGTTATAGATGAGTGAAATGAACTCCTAAGTGGCATCATTAAAGCTAGAATTTCAGGTAGCTTTAAAAATATGTTAGAAAGGTTCATGAGCAAGTGTGACTCAGATCTGCCTAATATTTCATTAATGGTATACAAAGTCCCTTAACCTTGGTGAGTGTTCAGTTCCATAACCTCGATCACTGAGTGAGGTTATGGATCTGTTTGTTCAGTAACAAACAACTGTGTTATACATAGAATTTTGGGCGACACGGGATATAAATAACTCTGTAATATATTGATGCTCTTTACTCACAGAAGGAAGACAACAAAGTACATGAAAGGAACACACACACAGGTATACTTACACACGCGCGCGAGCGCGTGTGTACACAGGGATTACGGAACAAACATTTCATTAAGAGTTAAAGTTAACATAAAGCAGAAGCCGAATTATGAATTCAGATAACAGGGATAATCACTATATTTCAATCAACGGAGGAAGATCATAGGTAGTCAGTCAACAGGACCCAGTCAACTGATGCCAATAAATGGGAGCAAGTTAACTGGGGCCAGCTAACAGAAGTCATCAACGGGAGTCAGTAGATATACACGTGAAGTTAAACTCTCGGACCTTCATCTTTTTATATAGTAGTAAATGTCTGGATGTTGGTAGTCGACTTCTTGGTGGTGGTCGACTTTTTAGTGGTGGTCTACTTCTTGGTGGTGGTCGACTTTTTAGTGGTGGTCTACTTCTTGGTGGTGGTCGACATTTTAGTGGTGGTCTACTTCTTGGTGGTGGTCGACTTTTTAGTGGTGGTCTACTTCTTGGTGGTGGTCGACTTTATAATGGTGTTGGACACAGACATTGGATTATTTTGATGGTCTTCTGGATATCACTGGCCATCGTCCGAGAATGTTATGTCAGCTGAGGAATGGAAATATTTGATAAATACATATTGTTAAATAAGCGAAATATTCAATCAATATGTATAATTTAGCTTTTCAGATTTACTGGCGAAACAGAATCCTATAAATGATGTACACTTACGTCAGTAAATGTGTATATTGTTTGTATAAATGGTTTAGAAAAACCGACAAGTTGATGAATGAGAGACTTGTCCAACATATGAGAATTTATATTGTGGAAACGTTTCGCCAGCTAGTGGCTTCTTCAGTCCAATACACAGAAGAACGGTGGAAGATGAAGAGTTTGTGGTAATCAGTCCCTCAGCCTGGAGACTATATATTCAGTCCATCAGTCTTGATAAACGATACCGCGGACAGGGTTAGAACCCGCGATCAGAGGGTTCGCGGGTTCTAACCCCGCCCATGGTATGGTTTGCTTGCAATCGTGTAATTGCGATTTCGTGAATCATCAGTCTTGATTACAATACTTTCATCAAGATTAGTGGACTGAACACATCGGCTCCAGGCTGAGCTAAGGGACTGATTACCTCAAACTCCTCTTCTGGCCACTGTCTGGCGAAACGTTTCCAGAATATAGATACCAGTGTTGTATAAATGTATATTGCTTTCCACGTCTTTCATCTGAAATTATAAGATTTCACTAAAATAAGTTAGAGTAACCGAAAATTAGAATACTTGTTAACTTTCTTTATGGTCCAAATCACATTACAACGAAAATAACCCATGGAGATAAAAATAGGTTACTGGGACAACGTATACCTTGGTCACTCTAAATGGAGTAGACTAAGATCCGGGGACCGAAACGTATCCAGTAAAAATGTCCTGAGTGTATGTACTCGTGTTCTGTCATCCATATTGTCCATACCATTATATCTTTTATATGTGTTGTGTCTTGAGACATTATTTGTGCTTGCATGCTGAGTTCGTCCCTTTGTTTACATCTGACTTTGTGGGACAATCCCAGTTGTTCGCTTGATATATAAAATTGTTTCGCAGTGCAGTATTTTATTGGTCTATATG